AACAAAAAAACCATGATAAAGGATTAAGAGGGATAACTTTACAAGAAGTTCATATAAAAGAATACAATTAATCCCATTAAAATTCCAGAGCATTTACTAAAATCATTTATAATTTGATGTCCATTTGATTTAGTGTTTGAATTAGTGCTTGATTTACTACATTTTGCATCAAATTCATCATGAGATTTGGTAAAATTAGCAAAGGCTTTTTGTAAATTTGGAGTATTAAGAGGGTGTGATGCTTGAAATTCTTTAAATTTATTACGAATTTGTTAGGTACAATCATCACATGTAATATTAAAAAAGGATTAATATCTTGGCCTTGGCCTTTGGGTTGAGTTTGTGTTGCATTTGCTGCCTTCAAAAATTTGCTGTAACAATATTCTAAATATTTTGAAAAGAAATAAATATCTTATCGTAAAGGAATAAAAATAAAAAGACTAAACTTAATAAAAATATCTTATCATTCTTAATTTTAGCACAAAAAATGTTCTTATAGATATAGAAGTATAGAAAATAATCAAAGTCACCAAAGCTGTTGATCTAATAGGATTAGGTATTCCATTGAAATTTTGATTTAATTCTGCATAAGTTTTATCAAATTCAGTATAAACACTAACATAATCTTTGCTACAAGTATTATTTGTGATATTAGCACAAGTTTTGTCTAAAACATTCTTTATATTTATCAGATCTAATAAATCATTTGGTGTGAAAACAGCATTTCCTTTAGTTAAGTAATATTGAAAAATTGAAGTGACCAAGCATTTATCAAATGGTAGTTGTTTATTTATAACAGAATTTAAATTAACAAATAGATATTTATGAAGTATTTGTTGACAAAGCATACATGTAGTTCCCTGTAGACTAAATTGCTGCTTGTAGGTAATCTTATCCTGAATATAGGCGAGAAGTATTGTATTAAATAATGTGAAAGGAAGAATAAAATATTTCATATATATTATTAACTAATTTTGTAAATCTCAAATGGAAGCACATTTATATTTATTTTTATTATAACAAACAACTAAACTACTTTGTCATGTATAACAAAAATAAATGTACAAAATTATACAAGAAAAAATCACATTGAATACAACAACTAATATAAAAGCGCAAAGAGTCTATTGATAGTTTTAAATTCAATTACAAAGAAAACATTTGTACTATAATACAATTCTTTTTTTGAATATATTAATTTTGTGATCTATGACAAAAATTATACTTATTAAGGAAATTTCATATTGTGATTCAAGACAATTTGACCATATAAATAAATTCAATAATTCCTTTAATTTTGCAGTATATTATCATTGTATAATGAATTTTATAGACCAATCACAATTAATGTATTTTAAAAAAAGAAAATTTGACATTAAGATGTATGATTTAGGGTAGATAGAAAACTGATACAGTATGATTATGCAGATCAGTAATTTTTGTGAAATTTGTCATCATACTGTACTATACTAGTCCTATAATAATTATATAACTAATTCAATACAATGATGATATAGACTGATTTTATAAAATTCATACTGTACTATACTGGTCCTAATAAATAAGCTCTATTATAAAACTAATACAATATGATACGATATCAAATTTTATAATTTTGTATTTTTTCTTTTTTTTATTTAATATAATTTTATATTTTT